AATAATTTTCTTCATCTTCTCTATGATGTAATAAAGCTGATTCGATGTTATTCAAAATTATGTACCCTTTACACAAAATACACAAAAATTACATATGTTGTTGGACGGTTCTCGATGGAATGAGGTTGCATTAACAGATTTCCAATTAGATTCGATGCGGGAAATATTTTTCAAATGTGGCAATATGTGTATTTGCCTTTTTCTGAAAATTCTAACTAGTTTCTTCATCTTTATTTCTGTTTGCTTTCAAATGGTAGAAGTAATTAATGAAAGGCTTTTATTGCACGTTTAATCTCTTATTAAACACTGATCTCAAGGATTCCATACTTTTAATACTTTTCCTTTTGTTTCGAAGCTACCAAGTTTTAGGAATTTCGCTAAAACAAAATCGACAAGAAAAGCACACTCATATCTCTTTAGCCTTCTAAGCAAATATTATGTTGTTATTTTCCATCTAACAAACCCCCGATTTTGTGGTTTAAATACAAAGAAGCATATCTAGAATTTACATTTTCCTTATTAAAAGGAACACGTGTTGCAATGTTCAAGTTAGCAGGAGATATATTTTCACACCCGTTGATCGTAGACATATACCGTCTGTCCAAAAAGTTCCAAGACTGGATTAATGAAAACAAGAGAAAACTTAAAATGAAGGTTTCAATAACTTCAGGTGTTACAGTCACTTCCTGCTCAAGTACAGCCCATAGAACGTTCATAAAATCATATGAAACTGTTATAAAAGTCCTTGTTTGAAATTTTATTCAACTTTCGTGTCACTTTCTTTTCGCCATCGACGGAACAGCTGACCCACTGAGTTAGGTGCTTTTCAGCCTGTTGGATCCCGTCGATGGAATTAAAAAATATATGTATAAATAGAGAGCTTAGCACTGTGTCTGCTAAGAATTGATTACATTTAGAGCTTTGTGCGGTGTCCTTTTAGACAGATGGTGTATACTTCAAATTACAAAAATATTTTTAAAACAGGTAACAATTCATATTTTCGCATTATTTAAAGTAAAATCTCAGTTTTAAAAATTACTAAATCTAACATTTAATGCTTCCCAATTCTATATAAGTTACACTTAATAAAAATGAAAACACGAAAAGTTTGACTCTCCTACGAAAACACTGACCACACTATTTAAAACTTGAGATAATGTTTCTTGAAAATTCAGAAATCTTGCATAAATTGAAGAGAGAAATGTTTAAATTTGTAAGTAACAAAGAATGATACCAGTCTAGCAGGTAGCTTTTGATGTTAATAGATTAATTGCGAATATAAATGTATAGATTGTCGCGAAATGTTTGAATGAATCGAAATTTTTTCAAAAAGGAGATCTTTTTCATAGAATCTTATAAAATTCGCTTTCAAGAAAAAAGCTGCAGGTTTAAATGGTATGACATAACCAAATCGCAATACTATTTGCATAAATTAAAAATTATTTCTAGTTAAGTAAATATTTTGAATGACAAGAAATTTTAAAATAGCTTTAAAACTGCGCCTCAAAATAGTTGTAATATGTTTTTAGCAAATGAAAATTTATAAATTATTTGTATGTGCAGACGTTGGCGTGCCAAACATAAAAAAACATTAAATTAAATAATATTACAAACTAATAAATGACAATGGCCCTTCAGCGGCCGAGCGGTAAAAGCTGCTGAACACTGGTAGTTCGGTCCGGGGTGCGAGTCTCGGCGAACGGGCTAAATGCATGAGCGTTTTCGTAGTTTTCCCCCATGTGTAACATGGTTACGAGCCAGTTTCCCTTAAAAAGATTTCCAAGGGGCATCCCTTCCTTTCCGTGTAGTGCCTAGGGTGGAGCAGGTAATACGTACCAAAAAAGTAAATAAATAAATCACAATGTAATTATCAGTGAATGTCATTAAATGGGAAAAACGTCAACCTCGAATTGTTCTAATTTATGCTTTAACCGACCTCTTAAGAAAACGACAAAAATTGATTTTGTGCACTGAAAATTCTAAAGAAAAAAGCCCAAATCATGAAATTAAATACTTCTGTTAATTCTTGCCGCAAAAGAATAAAACATTTTGCATTTTATTTCTTAAAGTGAGCATAGATTTTTAGTAAATACAAAACAAAGACTGGATGATTGTTAAAAATTTAAACTTCATAGTTTAAACAAAACTGATTTTTAAAATTTAAAATTACCGTGATGGGTATAATTACATTATTTTAAACATTTCCGTATCTGGAAATACCTACCGATATGTTCTATGACTAATACTTGTAAAAAGAAAGGCTGCATAATTCTTTTTATGGACAAATGGCTGACATAACTTGAGCTGAAATTATAGAGTACGAACATCACGATTGTCGCGACACAAAATGATGCGATCGCATGTTCGACAGAAATTTTTTATAATTCTTTTTAATGCCTAAACCAGACTTATTTCAGTTTCTAATTTCAAAGTGCCTCACGTCTCTTTAATGTGTTGATATCTTTATTGGGATATAGGTTTCTCAATAATGCATTTTTACATGAGAAGAGATTAATGCTGCTAGCAGGTCAGTTGAATGATGTCAGATGTGCCAATCCAGGAACTGGAGAATATGGCATTTAAAAACATTTAATACTGATGACAAAGTGGGCTATCGTGTTGAAACCGAAAATCGGTAGAAAATTCAATCTTTAGATCTCTGATACAAATTATTCGGATAATTTGGCAAGATGTCGGGCTAATCTTTGGAATATGGTAACAGGTAGTTTGGCGACATTTTGGTAAGGCGATAAATGTTACTAGCTAGGACTTTAGCAGTGTACATGGATAAAGTCAAGAGTGTGCGCAGTGCCCATTTTTTGTCAATTCTAGGATGTTTTTTTAAGTGAAATAGGTCGACGTGTACATGGATACCGTGTATATGCAATTCTTAAAAACGTGGCAAGCAGTTTGCGATTCTGCACTTTCTCCCAATTTCGCACCTAATCTTCGTCATGATTAAGCACTTTTGTTCCATAAAAGTTCTAGCATAAGCGTAATTCAGCTAGCAGATTGTTGGAAAAAAAGTGTTGAGTTAAAAATAAAAATGCCTTTACTTCGTAAAAACAAAATGGCGTCAAAAAAAAAAAAAAAAAAAAAAAAACTAGCAGGTTGCTGTAGCAGGGTTGGTCGCCAAATTTTCGCTAAAAAATCGCCAAGTTATCATAATCCAAAGATTAACCTCATCATCTCCACCCTCGAAAAAGTAATTTATTGGATATGTGAGCAAGTAATCAGCTAACGTTTGTCATCTGGAATAAGATATAGACAAGAAATACCTTTCTGTTCAAAAAACATAGGGAATAACAAAACTCTAAAACCATAGAACTGAGCGCCGCCTGAGATAACCACTGACCTGACTTTGTTGTAAAAGTCGTCCTGGCAGAAGGGAATATTTCTTCCGTGTAAAAATATAAATATTACATGGGCATGCAAGGCCTGTGTATAAGCATAGATATGTTCATTACAAACATTGTCTTGTACAAGTTACATGTGATAGTTACATAAAATCATGACAGTTATAGGCACATTTAAACATTATCTGAATTCATATTTACTACAATACTTTTACTGAGATAATCAAAGTAAAACTTGTAATTCATTTACACATTGACTGGATTTTCAATGTCATTTTTAACTGCTTTACAATATTATTTTTAACAAGTGCATACAAAATGAATAGTAATAAGCTTACATTACAATAGTTTTTGCTCGTACAGTCCTGTTATTATTCTACGGGATGAGCTATTTTTCTAGTGTTAATTTTCAGTTGTTGTAGTACTATCTGGCTTAAATTGGGTGGGGAGTTATGCGACTCTTTTCTGGTACTTCAGCTGAATTGCTTGGAAAAGTTGGAACTGCTATTAAAGTTGTAGTAACTATCAAGGGAGTATCTTTGTTGCTGTTCAATTACTTGGCTATTACTGCAAAATATTTCTGTAAATCAAAACCCAAAGCATATTTATTTTTCAAGAAAATCAAACGCAAAGTTATTGTTTGTTCTTAAAACACATATCTGTTCTCGTCTTTTCTCTTGTCTAACGTAAATATGAGCTACTTTGTTCAGAAAGATCGAAGGCATTTCTCTACTTGGACAAATAGCCTTCGAGTGCTTTGTGATTTTCAAATAAACAAGTTCTGAAATTACGGTTATTTTTTTCGATATTTAACGGGTATGGTAAACGATTTCGAGCTTCAGATAAGAGGTACCCGAGCCATAAATAATATTATATATTTCATGAGTGTTTTTTAACTATAGTCAATTATTTACAGTGATGAGTTATTTTATTTTAAGATAAGAGTAAGTTATTGGAACATAGTAAAGCACGCAAAAGCTGCGTGTCTTAAGGGATAGGATGCTATCGCAGAGGACTTTCTAAGGGAAACTGGCTCTTGTTTACGTGACTGAATATGGAAAGCACAAAAAAAAAAAAAAAAAAACACTCATGCAGCCAGTCCGTTTGCCTGGCTTGGGCCTGGGTAGAAATAATAAAGTATTCAGCGGTCTTAACCGTTTGGCCACTGGTGAACGCCTCTTACTTTAAAATAAACTACAGTCAATATTTTCAATGAATACAATCAAAGTACAGAGATGAAAATAATAGACGGAAAAAAGCGATAAAATATGACTTCTTATGTCCTTTGGACTCACAACTTTCTAGTTAAAAACATTTAGTTTTTTTCTAATAAATATTTGAGGCTTCTTGCTTAATTTTTTATGAAATCACTTAGCGCATACAATGATAATCTGAGAACAATTGTAAATAAACTAATTTGAACACCTTCTTTACTGATTTTTCAAACGAGCAATAATTGTAATGGAACTGTAAACGCTGGAAAAAGAGTGTACGTAAACATAGTTCAAAAAAGTAATGCACGCGAAATATCATTACATACGCAGTTAGAATAGTTTGAAGATTTTGTTTACTGATTGCAATAACATAAAATGTCATACACCTACCAAACGTAATGAAAGGTAAGAAGTTCTGCTCAATACTTACTCCCGGTTTCTACGAGCTCTTGGCATCCCAAAACATTTATCACAGTATCTCTTCCTGTTTACAGAATAAACTACTTGAGCAAATGGTTCTGATTTGTACACTAAATTTCCTGGTATCCACACAAGATTTGGAATAGTTTTCTCCCATTGTTCTTCGTGGCGAAAACGAAAGTCTCGGCCTGGATGAATTCTGGAAACTAACACACTTGAAATCAATGCAGATACAAGCAACCGCTGTGCTACAAGGGTTAATATGCACTACCAGCGCCAAATTTGGGTTTGCTAATGGCTCGAAGTGTCACTATCGTACGTATTTTTTAATATCAAAGAGAATGTATACCACTGGAGAAGTCTTCTTTTAAAATGCATTTGTAAAGCACCTGTGTAAACTTGAGTATAGAAATCTAAGTGAAGATTAGGGATCTTTTTCATCACAGGACAAGCGACAAACAATCTTCTGTAGAAAAATATTTCCGCCAACTTTATCTATTGGCCACCATTAAATCATGTGCATTGCATTTTATCTCTTGCAATATTAAAAAAATAAATAAATAAATAAAATGAAAAGTGTTCAAAGTATATTCTATTTACAATGAGCCAAAAAAGTATTGGGGCAGAACAAGGTTCCAGATAATTTTTTTAAAGAAGAATTAAATATTTGTTTTAAACGAAATATTTTTATTACATGCTATATCTTAGAGCTGAATCAAATGAAAGAATCTTAAAGTTCATTTAAAATAAAGTCAAATAAATATTAAAATTTATACTTTAATGTACGAATGAGAATGTAATGCATAAAAATATACTGTGGCACACAAGCGTACTAAAGATGACTCAATAAAAATTCCTCTAATAATGGGCGAGGCTTCTGTTCCTTTTCATAAATTCCCTGAGTCCTCTAGGCATGGATTTCCTAAGATTTTGATTGAGGTTTGCTTCTATTGTTTCTCATTTTCTTGCGAGGTTTTCTCCAAATAAATTTCTGTTGAAAATTCTGATTGCATTAATTTTTTCTTTCAAAAGATTTTTGACTTTCAAAGGACTGAAGTTTGGAGTCAACACAAGCGTTTTGATTACATAGGGATAGGTATATAAAATCCACAGTTTACAAATATGAGTGTGGAAACATCATTCGCAAGAAAGCTGTTTGTCAAACTCTTCGCGTTGCGATTTTCTTTTTGTCCAAGTGGCAACAGTAAAAGACTTCGGAATAAAAAATAAATATTATAATTTCTTTCTAAAAAAGAAACTCGTTATCATTTCTTTTAGTCTTCTTCTCTCGTTAATAAATTTATTTAAAGAAATTTATTCTCTACAGTATACTTTTAATGCATTTGTCCTCAACGAACCTATAATAAGCATTATGCTTCGGATCGTCGTCATGATAAAGTTTTAATGCCACAATATTTCCATTTTTTGCCTGCAATATTTCAAATTCGATTTTAAAATACTAAAATACATAAAATTATCATTATGCCATTAATAGCATATATAATTTAAACGATTTAAGCACTCATATAGCCCAAGACATCTGGCTGCCTCCACCATGTTTTACTGAAGGAGTAAGATTCTTCATTTAAAGTTCGGTGCTGGATTTTCGCCGTGTAATTTACTTCAAAATCTTCTGAATATTTTGGGAACGATTGCTCCCAAAATATTCAGTTTTCTTTCTATAAATATATCTGAATTCCAAAATTTTGGGATATTTTAATACAGGTCTTAATGAATTGTAATCATGCTTTTCAATTCGCTTTACTGAGAAATGGTTTTCTTTTACCTATTCTGCCATAAAAGTTTTATTTCCTTAAAGTACTTACTTATAAGAGTTCCTGTATTACTAGATTCGTTAAATATTGGTTGTTGTTTTTTTCAGTCTGACTTTATTGGTTTTAGGAATTTAAATAATATACCTAATGATGGACACTTCTTAGAATTCAGTAAATCTTCTTGGATGCCTTGGTTTATTTTCAAACAAATTTATATTACAGTATTTCATAATTAAATTGAACAGTAGATTTTATTGTAAATTCAGAAATTCAACTATTTTCTTCTCAGATTTGTAAGCTGTAAATTGTAAGTTCGTTCGCATCAAAAGAAATCTCAATTTTTCCAGTAGCTCCTAAATCTTAAATTGTATCTTTTCCAGGTTTAAAATTCTTCTCAAATAATAACAAAATCCTGCTAGAACCGGTTTTCTTTATAACATTTGTACCTGCAAAGTCCCAATATTTTTTGTTTATTTCAGTAGAGGTTTAAGAGATATATAGCTCTTAAGATATATATGTATATTCTTAATTCGAGTCAATATATCTTCTTATTTATTTTGATAGAAAATCTAAGGGGACTGTGCACGATTATATTAATAATCATCCGGTATATTTTTATACACCAGATGAACCTACTTATCAGCCTAACATGATGAATTGGAGGTTGGTCATCCTGGACTTCTTCATCTCTATGACCTGTGTACCTATGGCTTTATCCGTGATCAATGACAGGACTTCTGATCACGTGCTAGTTCCGGTTTATCTTGAAGTGAACAAACCGAAGGACTTGCCCCCAGTAAATTTAACGGACTGGGATCTTTATCATAACCTGCTCATGGCTTCCACTCTCAGTTTCGGCTGCTAAAGGATAATACGGATGTAGATTGTGCCATTGAGAAATTCACAAGTTTTTTCAAAAATCAAGGGTCTTCGAAAACAGTGGACCGAAATCAGTTTAAACACCAGCTACCGATGCATGTTAAGGAAATCATCACTTTCCACAATCACTTACAAAAGATTTTAATAGCACATGGAATACTTTGATTAAAACAGAGATAAATAGACAAAACCAATGCATCAAATCGACTTAATCAACGCACCTGATTCAGTACGTGGAACGATAAAATTGAAAAAATTAACCTGGACCGGTAACTCTATTTGGAAATGCGTTAATTCTATGAAATGCACCAGTCCCTAGTGTAACAACCCAATTAAAAGTGCTAGTTGTTTCGTGTACTCTGACCATAAAAAGTCTGAAATCTTTGCTGAACATCTGTCAAATCAATTCAGCTCGAACACCTCTCCAGCTGATATCAATTCGGACCAGGAAGTTGTGGAATATATCTGCGAATATTTAAACTAGCCCAGTGTAATTAACATTGCAGATATGCCTTCTCCGCACGAGGTGAATTCCATCATCAGACCGCTCAAACTCAGAAAGGTCCCCGGTAAATATGACGTTAATAACCGGATGCTTAAAAACATGCCACTTAAAATGATTTGTAAACTCACGTGTATTCTTAATGCCTGCTTGCACAATAAATACTTTCCGCGGGCTTTTAAGCATGCAACTCTATTTCTGATTCCCCACATGAAAATCCTGTTAATTATAGGTCGATAAGCCTGTGTTGTCATCACTCAGCAAGATTCTATAACGTTTGATTTACAATCGCATCAAGAATTACCTCCAGTGCCTCGCTGATCATCAGCATGGACTTTCTACGTGTACGCAGCTCGTTCGCCTTAGTGAATTCATCGGCTCAGCTTTTCATAATAAGATGTGTGTTGCAATCCTGATGCCAAGGCTTTTGACCGAGTCTGGCATCTGGGTCTCACAAGCTGGGACTGTCTCGTAGACTGGTTCTTCTGATTAAATCTTTCTTGGAAAGTCGCACCTTCGACGTTAAACACGGAAATGAAATCTTCAGGGTTAAAAGCATACATGCGGGTGTTCCGCAAGGCTCTATCTTGGAGCCGATATTTTACATTCTGTATGTGAAAGACTTCCCCAGTTTTAGAGAAGACCATAATATGCTCCTGTCTTATTACGCTAATGATACGGCTGTTGCTATTAAATCCAGAGCGCCAAATCACGCCCTCCTCAAAATACAGGAAAAGATCCCCGCAGTTGAGAAATGATGTAGAAAAATAGAAAATCAGTATTTCAACCTGACAAATTAAAAATTCTGCTGGTTAGGAAATACGGCAAAATGGCAGTTCTCAAGGAAGGTGTAAAGTTCTCCGGTACACTGTTTTTAGAATGGACAGCGCTAGTTATCTGGGCTACCTTTAATAAATCATTCACCTGGGGGGGTCCACTCACATGGCCAAAGTGTGTGGAAAAGCATACGAAATAATGTTAAAAATTGTCCCGCTGCTTAAAAATGATCAGCTTTCAATCAGTTTGAAGCGGAGAATCTATATCACATCTATTAGGTCTGTTATTACATATGCGTGCCCCCCTGGACTACTGCCAGCGAGAAAGACTACAAAAAACTTCAGGTGTTGCAAAATAAGGCTCTTAGAATTATCACAGGTGCCCCGTATTTTATAAGGAACAGAAGCCTACACTCGGATCTAAAAACAATCAATCAAAGATTTCACCGCACGGCTTAATGGCAGATTTTATGAGCGAACTTTAAGAAATAACCCAGCAAATTTCACAGAAATCTTGGATTACGATATTCTCTAGGAAGATATATTTTTTAGTCCCTTCGCTGCTCATCTGCTGTTTACTACATTGAACAATCAGGCTGACTGGTGAGAAAGCAGAATTCCCTGGTGTTTTTACTATTCAGTTTGATATTGTGTCTTTGCAAATACGAGGATTACCAGCACGGACACCGATTATTCTCCAGACCACCTACCCGGTCTTCAATTTTAGAAGCAAAGCGTTTCAATTTCTGTTCTCTCTCCATCAGGTACTTAGCTCTTTTGGAGAATATTCTTTACGGTTGCATCACAGATCAGGTGCTAATGGGATTCTTGCAAAAAGTGGCAAGATTAGGGAGCACTATCACCTTAGCTCAGAGTATTGAGAGGTCACTGTGCTATCTCACGCATTTGAGGCATTTTTATGTTGTCTTGTGTTTAACGTTTTTGGTAATCTGAAATGGTAACTACTGATTCTGCTGTCATGCTGGAAAGAATTGTACTAGTATTCTCTAAAACGTTCTTTGGGGAAAATAAATTTCATCATGCTATTATCGGTTCTGTGTGCATTTAATCCACTCCGAGCTCGTACGCACGTAACACTGTTGTAAGGCGAAAATCAAGGCTTCACTTTGAAGTGGAAAGAGTACTTTATCTGGCTTTAATCCGCCCAGTACTTTTTTATGCTGCCCCTGTTTCGGCAACAGCACTAAAAACCTACAGAAAAAATAAATAAATAAATAAATAAAAATAAAATCGTTGTCTTTCGAAATAAAATTTTGAGAGCTATTACAAGCTCCCCGTGTTTTGTATAGAGCCAGCAAGTCCACGAAAGTCTAAGGGTACAACATTTTGAAGACTTTTTTCTGATTAGTACAACTAGAAATTATTGTAATTTACCATAATTGTTTCATCAG